ATTTTCGACAACGCGCGCAAGAGGCCCCCAAACCTAGCAAGCCTTTCAGGGAGACGGATATCAACTTGAGAGCAGCCCCTCCAAAGCTGTAGAAGACACCTTGAATCCCGAAGCCTTGGTAAGCACACTGAACCCTAAACCCCAAGCGTCGCACCCCAAACCCTAACCCTAGACCCCAAACCCCCGAGCTGCAGCCTCTTTCCTGTGAGCTTAGGTGGTGCTCCCCCCCTGAGGAGCTCGGGTCGGATCCTGAGCTAAGCAGGCTTGAGGCTTTGTTTAGGGGTCTTCTCTCTGCTGCTTCAGGGTTTCCGGGTTCCTCTGACGGTTCCTTTGGGGGGCTCAGTGTCTAGAGGTGCAGGATTTGGGAATAGTTATACCAAGGAACAATAAACAATAAGGGTTTCGAGACGGGATCTTCAGCCTGGCTGGGTTTAGGCCTTAGAGGTGATAGGGCAGGGTTGAGGCTCAGGTTTAGAATTTGTACGATGCAGGGCAAGGCGTGAGGGATGAATATTTTCGGGGTCTACAACAAGCCCCCGCGGTAGTGCCGTCGATAGAGCCTTGAATTGTCTTGTTAGTGATTATGTCGAGAAGACCGCAGGGGAGACATCGTGCGCTATTGTAAGGTTTAATAGATCAGGACTACTAAACCTCAAGCCCTAAACCCTGAACCCTAAAGCCTGAACCCTAAAGCCCCGTATTAAACCTTAAAGGAGTCTGGGCTTCAACTTGAAGGCGCAGGGTGACAAGCAGTAGATGCAGAGAATGCCCCAGTCACATTATTCCCGTCCTGGTGTCATGGTTTCGGGTTTAGGGTTTAGGGTTCAGGGTTTAGCGTTTAGGGTTTAAGGTTCCATGATCCTCGCCCCGTTTTGATTCCCAAGGGCCCCACGAGCAATATGATCTATACTTTCCGGGCCACGAGATCTACTTTCGGCTTTGCTCTGCGAAGCAATCCAAAATCGCGATGTGTCCCACTGTCTTGCATATCAAACGCCCGTCTCACCACACCTCCATGTGTCATCCACATCAGATCAAGCCACACAAGTGGCTGCACTCCACCAACGTTCAAGCACTACGAGGCAAGCTTCGCAAAGGCCCGCTTAAAGCGCGTATCATCAACAAAAACAAGTACCGTCACAGAATATGCTTAGACACCATCCAGTTTGTGCGCAGAGGCGTCCTCGCCACAGTGATGCCAGGATTGCATTCCTCTGCCCTGCCTGGACGCGCAGTCGCAGTCGCAGTCGCAGTCGCAGGCGCAGTCGCAGTAGCAGATGCAGTAGCAGTAGCAGTAGTAGTAGTGGTGGTGGTGGTGGTGGTGGTGGTATCATCTACACCTTTTCATGTTTGTGTTTATACATTAATAGCAGACATCGACGTGGGAGGGAGTAGAAGTAATTGGAAGCAGAAGCCCAAGCGGCCGCAGAAGTGCAAGTAGCGTCACTACTGATTACTTTGAGTAGCTGTAGTTGCGGGAGGAGGAGTAGGAGTGTGAAGGGGACTGGGGATGGGCATCGGCGTGGTGGGAGTGGGAGGAGCAGGAGCAGTAGCAGGAACAGGAGCAGGATCAGGAGGGGATACGAGTTGAGTAGTCGTGCTGACTTTCCGGGCAAGTCATCGTCGTTTTCGTCTTCGCAGCAATCCTTCGAAGCAGCAGCATCACAGCAGTCACCTGCAAGCATGACAGCGCTCGCGACAGGAACACGTCGACTTCTACATGCTAAGCATGCTACACAAATAGTCTTATCATGAACTACAGCATTTGGGACAGCAGCGAGCACATTCCCCAGAAAGTTTCTGCGCATGTCATGGCACTGCTAGATAGGTTTCGCGGTCGAACATGCGGGATAGGCATTTCTGAAGTCAGCACCGCAAGTAGCAACAACAAGCTTGCACACGAGCCTGATTGTGAAGCTCTGCAAGGCGGACTTCCGAGCCCCTACCTGGAGGGACTCTCGTTTTCGGACAGCCTCTTGGCGTGATTTCAGATGCCGTCCACTCTTGATCCTGCAGGCTGCGGGAAACTGCACACCTTCATGCGCTGCCAGGCATCATGGGCGCCATTGAAGTCCTCGGCAGCTGGGGAATGGACTCGGTGAACGCTTTGTTTGTTGGGACGAGGCTCTGGAAGCTGATAAATGGATGTGCCATTGCAGCACATGTCGGAACAGACTGCCTTCCGTCAATGAGCCTCAGCTGAGAGACCTGCGCTGCTGCAAACAGGGGTTCGGTCATCAAAGCCGAGATGGACGTGGGACCCTTGTTCATCCTGCAAAACCTTGCACCTCGGCGAGCATCTAAACCGAGCAGTCTGGTCCCAAAGGAATGGATGCACTGCCAGGGCTAAGGGCTCGTACCTGTGATGGTTTTTGGGAGTTCAGCTAGCTGGAAATCCAGGCTGTCAGCACGCGGCGGCCACCCGAACGGGTGTCACTTGGGCTGCCCTACGACACTGGCCTGCAATGCCGGATTTCACTGGAAGGTACATCAGTGCAGTTATCACAGTTTTCGACATGTCAAGTACGATCAAGAGCAGCTGGCATGCTCAGGAACCAATGTCTGTGTTCCAGCTTCAGGCACGCTGGTCGGGTCTGCAGCGTCGGAGAAGTTTTATCTCTTTTTCCATTGTGGTGTACCCAATTCCTCCACGACATGGCAGAGGCCTTCTATTCGCATCGCCGACACCCGCTGTAAGACTCATCTATCTTGAGCCCTGTTTGTGCAGAATGCTGCCATAAAAACTCAGCTCCGCAGGCAAAACCGCCGGTCTTCGCCGGCAATATCGTTGCTGGCTGCGAGGACTGACGATTGTTTCGTCGTCGCATTCTAATTCCAAGCTTGAAGCTGGGATTCCAAGTCCCAGGAATGGCCTTCCTGCCAGTCATCAGCATCAACATCACTTCGTCATCACATCATCAACATCATCGCCACCTTCATCACCATCCTCGTGATCGCCATCGTCATCATTATCATCTTCACAATCTTCGCTAGTTCATCGTGTTCATCGTCACCGTCACGAGCAGCATATTTGCCGCTATCGTCGTCTGCATACCCATCGTCAGCATCGTCATCGTCATCGTCGTCATCATCATCACCACCACCACCACCACCACCATCGTGAACGACATCAACATCAACACCAGCAACAACACCATAATCGCCATCTTCTTCATCATTATTATCATCACCATCACCGGCGTCATCATTACCGTCCAATGTCAACAGTCTTTATCATCATCATCATCATCATCTTCATGACCGCAATCTTCATTATCCTCATCACCATCATCATGATCGCCATCACCATTACCATCATCGCCATCCTCACCACCATCATCATCATCATCACCATCACCGTCATCATCACCATCGTCGCCACCCTCATCATCATCATCATCACCATCATCATCACCAGCATCATCATCACCATCATCATCACCATCATTATCATCGTCACTGTCTCGATTTGTTCATCATCGCCGTCATCATCATCCTCTCTCCTTCATCATCACAATTGCCAGCACCATCGCCATCATCATCGTAGCCACAATCATCATCACCATTGTCATCACCATCACCGTCACCATCACCATCATCATCATCAGCAGCAGCATCATCGTCACTAACAACAACCACAGCCACAACAACAACAACAACATCGACATCGACATCAGCACCATCACCTTTGTCGTCAGCATCGTCACGTTCATCAGCATCATCACCGTCCAACATCATCACTGCATCAGCACCGTCATCATCTTCCTCCTCATCATCATCCTTAGCATCCTCATCGTTATCATCATCATCATCATCATCATCACCGCCATCATCATCACCATCATCATCAGGTTCGTCGTCACGATCGTGCAAGACTTCATTCCGTCGTCCTGTTGTTCGTCATTGTTGTCGTCCTCATGCTCGTGGTCGTAGACGTCGTGGTCGGTTTTTGTTGTTGGTAGTGGTGATGGTCGTCGTCCTTGTCTCTGCCACCATCAGCGTCATCCGTTGACAGCCAGGACATTGGCTTCCTGCTGCGGCCACATACATGCGAGGAAGTACAGCAGCAGGACGAGACTTTGTAAGCAGTGGCGACTAGCAGCTTTTTTCGGCTGGCATCAACGACCGACTGATATTGGACCACTGGATGCCCGAAGCCATTGCAGACATGTGCCGGGGTCTGGCAGACACTGTAGGGCCGAAGAGTAAGATGCCAGCGGAAGGCTGGAGATGCCACTGTGAACATGCCGAATGAGGTCTTCGGTGCCTGGTCTGCAATGCCGGGCTCGACACAGATGAAAGCATGAAGCCAAGACGTTCAGCCTCAAATCGGCCATAAAGCTCCAAAGACCGACCACTGACACTTCCGGAAGGGCGACGTTAAACGAGCCTTCATGGTGCGCCCGAGCAGGAGTTCGACCCCCGAATGTTGCCAGCTTTGTTCGAGTTTGGGTGTGGGAGGCGTCGCAGTCCCGGCGTTCCGTGGCGCTGCCCAGGATGTGTCGTGGGCTTCTTCATGCTGAGATCCTGCTCCACTGCGGGTGCTGGGCCGAGCAGCTGCCCCGACAGCTATGACTGCGTCCACCTCACACATATGAGGGTCGCTTGTCTTTTGGATCGAAGGGTTCTGCGGTGATGTGCTGTGTGTATTCTGCCTGTGCTTGGCACTTGGAGCTCCTGATGTCACCACCAGCTGCTAAATCGGATCCAGCATCCGGATCCATCGGGATCCGACATAACAGGTTGTTTTTTCTATATGCGGTTGCAGGGGCAGTGCCGTCTTAGAGCTCTCAGTACGTACAGTTGTAGCCAGTCAGCCAGTCGCAAAGGTGGGACTGTCGCGACAAAAGTTGTGTCGCAGGACAGAGTCTCATTCATGCTCCCCACTAGGTCCTAGGTCCCTTTGGCCTCATGGGTACACCTATGACCCGTCAGACTACCGTTGACTGAAGCCGGACTCCAACGCAGTTCCTGAGCCTCGAGCCTGTCGTGCGTCGAAGGCATGGAAGAATGCGCATGTTGGAATTCTCTTCGTGGATTCTCGGCAGATCTTGAGTCCTTGGAGCCTGTAGCGGTGTAGCCGGCGGCTCGTATACACGGATACGGCCGCCTTCTTCATGCAGCACCCCTTTGACCGACCTTCGCGGCCAATGTGAGCGCCGCAATCGCTGAGACAGCTAGAGGATTGCTGAGAGGCTGCATGCACCTGCATGCCCACACTTTCTTGAGCAAGGACCAACCTGCCAACATGGAGGTCTCAGACGTGTGGCTTTGTTGCACCTGTAGTTACAGCTGTAGTTTGCAATAGTCGGAGAGGGAGAGAGAGCTGATGTGCGAGCTACGCGGCCACTCTGCATCCTAGCCAGGCTTCCTAGCCAGGCTTCCTCACCTGACTTGGGTTGCGCCCATGAGGCAACTGTTCGACAACCACATCGGCATCACTGGAACTTTCCATCGGAAGATGGGTGACATGCTCCACTCTTTCACGATGCGTGACAGCAAGGTGCGCATGAGAGCCTCTACCTGGAGCTCGGAGTTGCAAACTCCTACGCAGCCCAATAAAAGCCAGTGCCGTTTCCACACCAATGTTGTCGCCAGACCCCACACCCTTTTATAGCTCCTCTGGCAGGATGTGCTACTGCTGTGGTGAGGGTAGTTACTGCTGGCTGCACACTCCTTTCAGGGCATTCGGGTTGTCGAGACTCTTCACTCATCAAGTTTTGCCTTCTTCACACACCGTCCTGCGAAGCAGCCTGTACCACGAAGCCCTGTGAAGCCTGCACAGGTCTACGGCTCCACAGCCCTGTCCAACTGCAACGCCTCGCTCCAATGCTTGGCAGTTGGCCCTGGGGAGGCTTCACCGAAAGCGTTTAGAAGAAACGGGCATGTTCTGGTGACCGGCTCTATTATTGTATACACAGTCACGCAGGAGGCTCGCAGCCGGTTAGTCTTTGCACAATCAAGTTCAGCTCAAGCATAGAAATGAAATGCAGGCAAGTCCTTCCGGCTGCGGCTCTTTGCCGGGACCTGATGTGCGACGAGCGGCCCGGCTGGAGTGCTGGTCTTTGCTGCTCTTTGTCATTTTCGAAAGTCCAGACACGTCGCGGACAGGGGTCTAGAGCAAGGCCGAAGATTTCTTCCATCGAGGTACGCCACAAGAGCATGGTACTGTCAAAAAATCGCGTCCTTTAGCTGAGGTCTGTCCATTTTGGGTTTGCGGGTTAAAGGGGATTTTTTGGTGGGTTCCTCCATGAAGGTTGGCATCTTGTTGCCCATCATCACCAATCGCGGGAAGACCTGCGAGGCCGGCCATGCTGCGGGTATTCTCGTGTACATCTGCTCAGACATCCTGCCAGTACCACAAGCATCCAGCATCTGAGATTCGCCGAGCTTTTACCAGGACGGGCCCGTCTTGCGCGCATGTCCTTTGGCCAACCTCCCCGACCGCAACTGCGCGCTGCCCTGGGAGAGCCGCTACGGCACGCGGGGTTCCAGGCCGTCAGCCTCGGAGATTGGGGATGCCTCGGGTTCCACTCATGACCCGACATGTTCGTAGCAGTCGAAGCAATTGAGTACTTGTACCGTGTAGCAGCAATACTTTCAGCATGAGTATCATCCGCATCACCAGTCTCATTCTCATCCATGCCCTTGTCATCATCCTCATCACCGTCAGCCATCATCATCATCATCTTCATCCTTATCCGCATCCTCATCGTCGTCAGCCATCCTTCACAGTCATCACGTCACCGTCATCGTCAGCATCAGTATTCACATCTACTTCATTTTGGGGCATCATGAGTGGCAACAGAGGCAGCACCATTAACATGACCATCACCATTATGGCCATTTTGGCAGTAATCATCATGAGCCTGCGTCGCCATGATGATGAGATGCCGGAGGTTGCACTTGCGATGCTGAAGGTGGTGGTGATTTAGTTGCTGCTGCCGCTGCCGTCGGTTATGCGTCGTCGCTGTCGCCAGCGCCGGAGCGCGACAGCAAGCAGGATTGAAAAGAAAGCAAAAGGGCGTAGCGGCCTTTTTCCTGACAGGATGTCGGTCTTCCGTCTCGAAGATGTCAATTTTGGGGCCTTCTATGCAGAGGCAGGATGCTTAGACTGTGCCTGGGACTTCTATGACTGCCCATATATCAGATCCTTGACAAAATGAGCTCCCTGCGAGGATTGCGGAATGCGCTCGGTGGCAATTGCAAACAATCCCAGTTCTCGAGACTGGAATCCCATTCTCGCCCCTTGCTCGAGCGTAACCTTGACATGACGACTTCAGAGTCTGGAGGCTGTCCGTGTTGTAATCACAGGACTCCTCATCGTCGTGACGGCTCCACCTTCCAGCTAGACTTGTCCTTGCATGCGTCATACTTACTTCGGAGGTTCTGATTTTTCGATTCTTTCGTTATTGCTTTGTTGTCACTGCGTGGCTGCTGCCTTGGGCACATTGATGAGCAGGCGCAAGGTTTTTACTTTACAGAAAGCCCCGGCAAATCAGTGGCCAGCCAGAGTATTAGATTGCATTGGGACTCTGACTCAATTGCACGGGCATACCGGGTCCGACCAGTAAAAATCTGGGCTTTTCTGTGCATGCACACTCCGTCAGACTACCACGGCTACTATATCTACCGCGAGGACGAAGACGACTACTACCACTTTGCAGTTCCTGCTACTGCTTACGCTTCTGCTACCGTGCTGTAACTGCTAAGGCTATTGGTACTGCTACTGGTGCTGCGGCTGCCACTGCTACTGCGGCTGCTTGTGCTGCTTGTGCTGCTGCTGCTGCTGCTGCTGCTGCTGCTGCTGCTACCATTACTGCTCCTCCTCCGCCTCCTCCCGCTACTGCTGCTTCTACTGCTCCTTCCCCTACAACAACAACAGCAGCAACAACAACAACAACAACGACAACGACAACGACACCACCACACCACCAGCGCCGCCACCGCCACCACCACCACCACCAACAACAACAACAACAACCGCCCCACTCCCACTCCTACCGCAGCTCCTACTACTAGCACTACTACTGCTACTACACTCCGACTACTACTGTTGATGATATAAATCTTGCACTACCTTAAGGACACCATACTATGGGAATTATGGTATATTCTTTACTTTGGGTAATGCAGGATACTACTACTACTACTACTACTACTACTACTTCTGCTACTACTACTACTACTACTACTACTGCTACTACTACTACTACTACTACTGCTACTACGACGCACCGGGCTCACTGGGTGCCCCGTGCCAAGA